CAGTTTTTAATGATTCATTTCTCTCAAGAAAATGTTTCTAGTATTATTTTATATTTCATATTATAAGGCTTGTTATCTCACAATCATGGGTCTTAACCAAATTTACATATAGATATTTTGGGAGGACATATCCAGATGATTCTTTTATTATTGATATTCTCTTTCCCTCACTCCTTTCTTTATTGTATATTCAATTTACAAAGGCACTTCATTTGGTACTCCTATATATACATACAATATACTTTGATCAACTTATCTTCCTCTATTAATCTTTCTTATCTCCTTCTTTTCACTTTTCATAAGCCTCATCATCCATTTTCTTACATGCTTATAAAAAGCATTGATTACACAGCTCAGTATTCTAATCTCTAACCCTTTACTCACCCATTAATTTGTAGTAAAACTCTTTTAAAAATCGATGAATAATTAAGAAATATACAAATAAATTATTATTAACCACAAATACAGTGTAGTCCAATAGATACTCTTCTAGCCTGTTGAAACTTCTACATCCTTTATTATGTTCCCTTATCCCAACTTTCCTCCTGTCCAAGCCATTGGTTAATGGCATTTCTGCTCTGTTTTTTGACATTTTTCTATTTCATATATTTATATTTCATATATTAGTGAAATCATATTTTTCTTGGTTCTATTTCACATAATACATGTATTTCATTCTATCTATATTGTCAGAAATGGTAGAATTCCCTTTCAACTTAAGGCTTACTATGCCAGTTTCTCTTCAGGATATAATTTGGCATCAAAAAGCACACAGTCTGAGACAATTTTTAATTAAAAATTAAAAATTCATTTATAAATAAGATCATTTCAGGAATCTTGGTAGCTTATCCTCCATTCTCAAATTAACTACACACACACACACACACACACACACACACACACACACACACACATAAATGTAACATCAGACCATTAGAAAGAATACTTTGGCAGACCTTAGAATTCAATTTTAATTCAGGCTTCAAGCAGTTAGACACTAGCAATTGAGCTGCTCCTACAGTTAAGAACACTTCTAAATTAATATATAATGTAATCATATATATGTTTTAGTAAAAACAATAAATGGTTCATCTCATTGTGATTTCACCAATTTAGATTTTGGAGAAATCATTACCAATAAAAGAATAAAAGATTAAAATAAAAGAATAAAAGATTCACTAAGAATTGGAATGTATTCACTAATCATTGTAAAGTCAAATGTAGAGATTATAGAAAAAAAGAAATTTTTCTACCCCTTTTATCTATATGATTTTTCCCTCATCCTCATCTTTATTTAATTTTGACATTGAAAATGCTGCCTAACTTTTCGGTACACTGCCAAACAAAACATTTATCCCTGGAAGGATAAATTCTCATGTTCCATTAACCTTTTGTATCTTAGGCTCTGATAACTTTTTTTAAGTTTTTTTTTTAATTATGAAAATACCGTACAGAGGGGTTACAATTACATGAGCAAGGTAATGAGTACATTTCTTATCAAGCATTGTTGCCTCCTCCTTTGTTTCCCCTTCCCATCCCTGCCCTCCCATCTCCCCGCTTTCCCCTTCCCCCCACCGCCGAAGTTGTTAATTTCGTTTTTCGACATAACGTCTTGTACATCTCATTGTTGCAATGGGTCTATCTGCAGGTAGGCTCTGATAACTTATGGGGGGAAAAACTCTCCTTCGTATTTATTACACTTACTCAAGATAAGAGTTTTCAACTAGCAATGATCGCACCTCAGATAAACCTCAATGGCTACAATACTGAAACTGTGCAAAGCTAACTCTTCAACATAAGAGTCAAAAGTTTTCAGTCATGGCGAATTTTATGGAATATCTAAAAGCTAGCTGTTCTCATCCTGCAAACATCAATACCTACACTTAAAATATAATTTAGGTGTTTATAAACCTGTCTAGACAGAATTACATGTTACTCACTTTTAATTTATCTAACAAATTTTTACAGTTACTCTACAAATTTTAATTTTTACTTATTTTAAATATAATATTATTGTAAAGATGATAACTTATTTAAATATAAAATAATTAAACAAATGTAAACATGTTACATTAAACAATCATTTACAATATTAATAAGCATTATCTTATTCACGATATTTAAATGTACATGTTATAATAACAATTTGTATCTCAGCCTTTCTTGCTTTCTTTGATCACTTCTCCAGCAATTTCTGTTTTTATTTTCTTTAGCTTGTTTTGGGGGAGAAATTATTTTCATAAATATATGAATGCCAAGGATTAACAATGAGCAACCAGGTTTAATAACTACAGGATATATTTAGGGTATAGAGAAAATTACAACATTATGATAGCTACAGTTAATTTTAACAGTTTGTTTTTCATTTTGCTTCATTTTGTTTTCTTGTTAAGAATTTGTAAAATGTATGATTCTAGCTGATCTGGCTTTACATATAAAATCTACCTGGTTTCAAAAAAATAAAAAAACCCTTTTCAGAGTTCCAGTAAAGCATCATGTTTCATTTTTTTTCTGTTTGAAAGGCAAAATTATATGATGGACATCTAGTCCTTTGGACCTCTGAAAGGTGCTTATCTCATGTTTCCTGAACATAAAAATAATCAACACACAATTTTTTAAGAATGTATTAAATTATAGTAACTTTTAATTTATCTGGTAAGTCCCTTAGCTCCAAAATAATTAAATAAATTTGAACATTATACTACATTAAACAGTTACACATACTATTAAACATTATTATATCCAATATATTTAAATGTGCATGTCATAACAATAATTTGTAATATGACAATTTTGGATTTTTCATGTCCATAGTTTCCATGTTTTATGTAGTTCATCATGTAAGGATTATGACAACTTTTTTCCTAGAAAACTAGGTCTGTACTCTTTGTGCCAAAAATAACATTAACCAATTGTTACTATTACCAAATAACCTATTCTCAGCTAATTCTGAATATACTGAATTCAATTAGAATTTATTTGAATAATTAATTATTAGTATACAACTCCTTAAAAATTAAAAAAATATAGTTACATCTGAAATCTTAATATTGATTTGAAATTCAGAATTGACTCATTTTGTTTTCAATTTTCCAACCTATCACACCTAATAGTTTGACAGTCATGAAAATTCTCAATTCATGGGATATTTCTCTCACACTTTTGATATTTTCTGTTCTTCCAGTACATATATAATTTAGCTGAGCTTTTATCTCCCCTTACTGATATCTTTTTGGATTATCTTTGATAGTTATTAAGTTTTGCAAAACTGATCGCAATAAGGAAAATTAGTTTATCCATTGTCTAGAAACATATGTATTCAAATTGCCTATTTATGATATTATATTCAGCTTTCAGGTTAGCCACATAGGTAGTGTGACTTTTTAATATCATAAATAATTTTGTACATTGAAACATAAGAACTGAGACCTCTACAATATTTTAATCCTCACCAAAATATTAAATCTTTGATGGCATTCCATATTTGCTCTCAACCACCCATTATGAGCAAAGCTACTATGTGTGCCAATCTGTGCTTGAAAATATTGTCATTGTTCATTAATTATATTTCTCCCCATTGTTGAAGAAATTTTCATAACCATACAGTAGTCCAAATTGATTTTGAACTTTGCACATGGGTAACTAGCTTATCATGAAGTTTTATTTTCTTTTAAAATGTCAAAAGTCTCTATCCTTAAGATATGCAAATATATCCCTTAATACATTCCTTCAAAAGCCACCCCAAGAAAAATACAGAACTCCAATTTTACCAGAAAGTATTATTTTATTTTCAAAGACCTATCTCAAGGAAAATACAGAGATAAAATATCTCATAAAATATCAAAAGAGGAAACCTTTTAAAAATAATTCCTTTGCATTTGAGTAAACAATTAAAGAAATTAGCAGTGTTTGCCTCATGTAGCCCTTCAAGTTATAAAAGAGTCTCATTAAATCCAGTAAAAGGTCAAAAAATGCCAATAGCTTTTTGCTTATAAAGTAAAATCTGTATTCCTAAGAATTTACTATAGCAGAAACTTTTAAGATTTTTCCCATTGAAACATAATGTAGATGAAATTATGGTACACTACTTGGCAATACTTAATCCTCTTTTTTAAGATCAAGGTCTGAATTGCTGTTATTTAATGGAATCCTTGGATAGTCCTAATACTTTTCTCTCCTTGCCAATTATCATTAAGAAAGTTGAAGTGTTATCCCTTATTCCCTGCTAACAATTTCATCATAGCCTACTGAAAACTGTTATTATCTTTTAAAAAGAATCTTCTTATTTGGCTTTTGGAGAGGAAAAACAGTTTATTTTTCCCAGGAGTCTGGAAAATGAAATGGAGTGGAAGGTGAGATCAGGAGTCATTCAGCTCTCTGAGAAAGACATTGCAGTGCAACACCTCTTCAGGCAACTATGACCCCGTATGATTTCAACAATCATGAAATGAATTAAAATAGTTCATAACTTTAGATAGCACCTTGCCTCTAGAGAGGTCAAAGGAACCTGACATGTCCTCTGAAATTGGATGATCACTATAAAGCTGTCTGTGAAAGAACTGTTAAACTGTCTCTGATACCGGTCAGTAAATATCTGATTATAAGCTGTATTGGAGCTTGTGCTCCACATTTCATTCATGCCCTGCAATGTATAGAGAGGCAGAACTGAGTTTCTCAAGTATGGCAACCTATCTGTCTCTGGGATCCATTACACCAGAAGATAAGGCAGAGAAGGGAAGGGGTTCTTTCTTCCAGAAGGTAGAAATGATCAGTTTGAAGTAATATTATCTTACTAAGATTTAACATTGTGATGCTTAGATTGACCCTTTTTGACTATTCACTATTTTATATTGTTTGTGCAATATTTCTCTTTCATTTTCTCTAGCGTTGTGTGCATTCTTCCCACTTGGGGAAGAATATTTGATGAATAACTATAGATATGAAAGCCAGTAGGCCTGTAGACTTGATTGCTCTAACTACCATATTCATGCTGCCCTCAGGCACCGAAGGAGCAGTATTTGGACATTCAGTGGAGACACCTCACATCAGGGCAGAACCATCTCGAGACCTCAGGTAGGTGCTGTTATACCTGTATAATCATGTATAATCATTTCCATGACTGTTGACCATAAATCATGTATGAAGAACTAAATATTTACAGTTATCTGCATTGGAATTGAGTTTCGTGCATCTATGGTACTCAGATATTTGACTGAGGGAAAGAAGATAACTTATTCTCTAAAATTCCTTAGTTTATCCTAGCATGTCAATAAGGAACATGAAAATAAATATTGTAAATAATACTGCAATGAACATAGTTGTACTGGTAGCTTTTGTGTGGCCTAGTTTGAGAACATTTGGATAAATTCTCAGCAGTGAGATGGCTGGGTCATAGAGGAGCTCTATGTGGAGTCTTTTGAGGAACCTCCATACTGCTTTTTAGAGTGGTTGAACCAGCTTACCTTCCCATCAACAATGTAGTAGTGTGCTCTTTTGGCCACATCCCTGCCAACATCTGTTATTTTTGTTTTCTTGATAATGGCCATTCTAACTGGGGTGAGGTGGAATCTCAATGTAGTTTTTGTTCTGCATTTCTTTTATGGCCAGCCATGCTGAGCATTTCTTCATGTGTCCATTGACAATTCTTTTTTTTTTTTAAATTTAATTTAATTTTATTTGTGAACATACTGTACAGAGGAGTTACAGTTACATGGGCAGGATAATGTGTACATTTCTTACCAAGCATTGCAGCCTCCTCCTTTGTTTATCCTTCACATCCCTTCCCAGCCTCCCCCCTCCCCCCCTAATCCCAATCCTTCTCCTTCCCCCCCCCCCCTGCACCAACGTTGTAAAGCTCGTTTTGGACATGACAACTTGTACTTCTCATTGTTGCAACAGGTCCACCTGTATCCTTAAACAACTAGTTTTTCCCCATCTCCTCCACAAGTTATACTGACATCAAATATAGTGAAAGCAGGGGTTATACTGTGGGGGAGGGACATACAAAGCAACAAAGAGATAATCTTATAAATGTGTTAGAAACACATGCATGAAAGAAAAAAAACATTAAAATACACATCTAAGGGTTCATTTTCCTGACATCACATTATCTGACCTTTTCCGCTTGACTCATACATATACTAGATATTACAAATAAGGGAAACCATGGGACCTACGTTTCTTTGGGCCTGGCTTACTTCACTTAATATAATTTTTTCCAAGTTTTTCCATTTCCTAACAAATGGGGCAATGTCATTCTTTCTGATGGAGGCATAGAATTCCATTGTGTATATATACCACATTTTCTTGATCCATTCATCTACTGAGGGGCATCTGGGTTGGTTCCATATCTTAGCTATGGTAAATAATGCTGCAATAAACATAGTTGTGCTGGTAGCTTTAGTGTGGTCTTGTTTGTAAACATTAGGGTAAATGCCCAAAAGTGGGATTGCTGGGTCATAGGGGAGCTCTATTTGAAGTCTTTTGAGGAACCTCCATACTGCTTTCCAAAGTGGTTGAAAAAGTTTACATTCCCACCAACAATGAAGTAAGGTTCCTTTCTGTCCACATCCCCTCCAGCATCTGTTGTTGTTAGAGTTCTTGATTTTTGCCGTTCTAACTGGTGTGAGGTGATATCTCAATGTTGTTTTGATTTGCATTTCTTTTATGGCTAGGGATGTTGAACATTTCTTCATATGTCTATTGGCCATCCTTCTTTCTTCTTCAGAGAAGTTTCTCTTTAAGTCTTTCGCCCACTTATTTATTGGGCAGTTGTTTCTTTGAGGATTTGTTGTTGGGGGGTTTAATTTTTTGAGTTCCAAGTATATTTTAGATATGAGACCCTTGTCCGTTGTATGGCTAGTAAAGATCTTCTCCCAATCCGTGGGCTTTCTATTGATCTTGCTAGCTATGTCATTTGCCCTGCAGAAGCTCTGCAACTTCATGCAATCCCATTTGTCCAACCTTTCTTTGATTTGTTGTGTTTCCGGGTCTCTATTCAGAAAATTTCGGCCTGAGCCAAGGAGACCTAGGGTTTCTCCTATTCCATCCTGTAATGTTTTCAGAGTGTCTGCTTTGAGTTCAAGGTCTTTGATCCATTTGGAGTTGATTCTGGTGCAGGGTGATATATAAGGATCTAGCTTAAGTTTTCTACATGTAGTTAACCAATTTTGCCAGCACCATTTACTGAAGAGGTTGTCTTTCTTCCATTCTATTGTTTTAGCTCCCTTATCGAAGATTAGATGGCTATAGGTCTGTGGGTTCATTTCTGGGTTTTCAATTCTATTCCATTGGTCCTGAGGTCTGTTCTTATGCCAATACCAAGCTGTTTTGATTACTATGGCTTTATAGTAGAGTTTGAAGTTTGGTATTGATATTCCTCCAGCAGTGTTCTTTCCATTCAGGAGCGTTTTTGCTATTCGGGGTCTTTTATTGTTCCATATGAATTTTTGGATTGCCTCTTCTATTTCCTTGAAGAATGAGGTTGGAATTTGGATAGGTATTGCGTTGAATTTGTAGATAGCCTTGGGAAGTATTGACATTTTCACGATGTTAATCTTTCCAATCCAGGAGCATGGGAGGTTTTGCCATTTTTTAAGTTCTGTGTTGATTTCCTTTTTCAAGATTTTAAAGTTTTCATCATAGAGGTCCTTCACTTCTTTAGTTAAGTTAATTTAGTTAAGTTAATAGGTATTTTATTTTTTGTGGGGCTATTACAAATGGAGTTGCTTTCCTAATTTCAGCCACACTTTTCTCATTGTTGGCATACAGAAAAGCCATTGATTTTTGGGGGTTAATTTTATAACCTGCTACTTTGCCAAAGTTTTGAATCAGCTTGAGTAATTTGGGAGTGGAGTCTATGGGATTCTTTAAATACAAGATCATGTCATCTGCAAAGAGGGAGAGTTTTATTTCTTCTTTCCCTATTTGGATCCCCTTTATGTCTGCATCTTGTCTTATTGCTGTAGCTAGGCATTCTAATACTAGGTTGAAGAGAAGTGGAGAGAGTGGGCATCCTTGTCTTGTTCCTGAGTTAAGAGGAAATGGCTTTAGTTTTTCACCATTGAGTATAATGCTGGCTGTAGGTTTGTCGTATACAGCCTTTATTGTATTGAGGAATGTTCCATGGATTCCTAATTTTTCCAAAACCTTCATCATAAAGGGGTGTTGGATCTTGTCGAATGCTTTTTCTGCATCTATTGAGATAACCATGTGGTTCTTATTCTTGCTCCTGTTGATGTGATGAATAATATTAATTGATTTGCGTATATTGAACCAGCTTTGCATCCCTGAAATGAATCCTGTTTGATCGTGGTGCCATTGACCATTCTTATTTCCTCTCCAGAGAAGTCTCTTTTTAATTCTTTAGCCCACTTATTAATGGTGTGTCTGTTTCTCTGGGAATTTGTATTGGGGAGTTAATATTTTGATCTTTAGGTATATTTTTGATATGAGACCCTTGTCTGTTGTATAGCTAATGAAGATCTTTTCCCAATCTGTGGGCTTTCTATTTATCTTGCTCACTATGTCCTTTGCCATGCAGAAGCTCTGCAGTTTAATGTGACCCGTTTAACCAGACTTTCTTTGTTGTGTTTCTGGATCTTTATTAAGGAAGGTTCTACCTGTGCCTAGGATCCCAAGCATATCCCCTATCCCTTCCTGTAATATTTTCAGGGTCTTTGCTTTACCCCAAGGTCTTTGATCCATTTGGAGTTGATTTTGGTGCAGTGTGATATATAAGGATCTAACTTCAATTTCCTACATGTGTGTAGCAATTCTGCCAGCACCATTTGTTGAAGAGACTGTTTTTTTCTCCATCTGATAATTTTGGCTCCCTTATGGAAGATTAGGTGGCCATAGGTCTGTGGGATCATGTCTGAGTCTTCAATTCTATTCCATTGGTCCTCTTGCCTGTTCACGTGCCAGTATCAAACTCTTTTTTTTGTAACTACAGCTTTATAATAGAGTTTGAAGTTTGATATTAATATTCCTCCAACACTATTCTACCTGTTTTTCTATTCGGCGTCTTCTATTGTTCCATATGAATTTTTGGATTGCTTCTATTTCATTAAAGAATGTTGTTGGGATATTGATAGGTATTGCATTGAATTTGCAGATAGCCTTGGGCAGTATTGCCATTTTCCAGCATTATTTACTATAGCTAAGATATGGAATCAACCCAGATGAATGGAATCAAGAAAATACGGTACATTTACACAATAGAACTTTATGCTTCTATCAGAAAGAACAACATCGCTCCTTTCATAAAGAAATGGAAAGGGCTGGGAAGGTGGCTCAGTGGTAGAGCGCTTGCCTTGCATGCCTGAGGCCCTGGGTTCGATTCCTCAGCGCCACATAAGCAAAAAAAGAAAAAAGCCAGAAGTGGTGCTGTGGCTCAAGTGGTGAGCGCTAGCCTTGAGCTGAAGAGCTGAGGGACAGCGCCCAGGCCCAGAGTTCAGCCCCCACAACCAGACTCCCCCCCCCAAAAAAAGAAAGAAAGAAATGGAAAGACTTAGGGGGGAAAAATAATATTAGATGAAGTAAGCCAGACCCAAAGAAACGTAGGCTCTAAGGTTTTCCTCATTTGTAATAATTAGTATAACCCTAAGTTAGTCCTGACAGAGAATCATAATAGCTCAATAATTATGAACATATGACTGTACAAAATGATGTTAACTGAACTGAATTTCAAGACATGGAAACAGTAGGCCTTTTTATTTTAGTTGTCAACCTTGATGTTGCCAATATATTGTATCTAATTCTTTTTTCTTATATTATTTCATTTTTATTTTTCCATTGGTTTATCTCTGGAAATCTCTGCCTTTGATTCTGGTTCCCTCCATCTTAAATATGCATTTATCTGATTGCGGGAAGGGACGGGAAATAACAAAATGCTGAAAGAAGTACAAAAGATAACCCAATGCAACAAGGATACTTGTAAGAAACTATGTGAGAAATGAACTTAACAACTTTGTAGGGGGTGGAGGGGGGAGGGAAGGGACAGTGGAAGAACAATGGAGTGGGTAACAATGTTCAGTGAGAAATGTACCTTATTCATGTAAATGTATAAAAAT